TGCCACACCCTCACAGAGAGGGCACTCTGGAAGTGCAGACTGGCCTGGGGCCCGGGTGTGCCCGGGGCTGTCAGGGGCAGGGAACAGCAAATACTGCCACTCCGGAGTAGTTCGTCCCCGAGTCCAGGCTGGTGTGCGTGCCTCATGCCTAACAAATGCTCACGAAAGTCCACTCGGCCTCATCGTCTCCTTCATCCTCATCACCGTGCCAGCTGCCTGACTTCACACTGCCCTGGGCAAGTCGCCTCACCTCTGTGGCCCTCTGGTCCTTGTCTGTCCCATGGGCACAGGGACACTCCCCCTGCAGGGTCACTCCGAGAAGTCAGACTGCAGTCCTCCGCCTGGTCTGAGTACCTGCTCAAACACCGGGACCCTTACCCCAGCCAGCCGCCGGCCGATCCGAGGACAGACCCAGACCCCTCACCCCAGGCGGCCCGGCGGCCCTCCCCGCTCTCCCTCCCGGAGCCAGGCCACCAGGCGCCCTGGCTGGCTGGTGTGGACATGGACTAGCCTCGCCCCTTCACCTCCCTGCAGGCTGGGCGCGGGCTCAGAGGCCACAGTGGGCAGCCCGGCTGGTGGAGGGGCAGCCCGGGGCCCTGCCAGGAGCCCCTGGAGGCCTGGAGGGGAAAGCACTGTATTCGGATGGCCCCAGCAAGGGCCATGGCGCCTGTCCCTGTGCCTCACACCCTAGGGTGGCCCCAGACTTGGGGTGGCGTGCCACTGTGGGTGGTCCCTGTCCCATCTTCCCCAGGAGGCCAGCCTGGCCCCAGACCCTCCCCACCCTGCCCACTCCCCACAGCCTGTGCTGGAAACTCCTTTGCAAGCAGAAGCAGCCAAATGGGGGGCAGCCAGTGAGTGCCTCCAAGGACCCTGCTGCGGGCACTTTTCCAGAGGATCTCGTCCCGGGCCTGGGGTAGACCTGGGCAGAGGCGGGCTGGGCATAGCTGTGCCCCCTCAGACCAGTCCTGCCAGCTGGGTCCTGGGAAGTCACCGTGCCAACAGCAGCCAGAGGCTGGGGGCGCCTGGCTGGGTGGGAGGTGTGTGCCATTACACACACTACCACTGTCACGCAGCCGTCACCACCCCCTCCAGAATCTTCCATCCCCCCGAACCGCACCCCCGGCCCCACGACACGCTCTCCACCCCACCCCCGCCCCACCGTCCGCTCTGTGTCTGTGGGTCCGAGTCCTCCAGGGACGTCCCGAGAGTGGAGTCACGCGTAATCTCTGTCCTTCCGTGTCTGGTAGGTGTCACGCGGCGTGACGTCCTCCGGGTCCGTCCACATTGTAACGCGTGTCACGGCTACTTCCTTCTAAGGCTGAGCGATGTTCCCCGGGTGGCTGGACCACCTCGCTTGTGTCCGGCCTCCACGGACACTGGGCTGTTGTCACGCTCTTGGCAATTGTGAACAGTGCTGCTGTGCGCGCGGGGGCACACCCATCGCTTCACCCCTGCTTTCAGCTGCTCAGGGGACGTGTCCAGCAGTGGGACGGCTGGGTCCCGTGGTCACTCCATGTTTAATTTTTTTAAAGATTTGATTTATCTATTTTTAAAGAAGGGAAAGGAAGGAGAAAGAGAGAAACATCACTGTGTGGTTGGCTCTCACACGCCCCCTGCTGGGGACCTGGCCCGAAACCCAGACATGCGCCCTGAATGGGAATCGAACTGGCAACCCTGTGCTTCGCAGGCCAGCGCTCAGTCTGCCGCACGACCCCAGCCAGGGCCACGTGTAATGTTTGAGGGGCCTCAGCACCACGTCCACAGGAGCCACGCCACGTGCAAACCCCAAGCCCCGCTTGGGCACATGAAACAAACACTGGGCTTTGCAGCCGGCCTGGGTGGGGAGGTGTCGGGGGGTGTTGTGCAGAGGTGGGCCCTGGCCCTGGACATTCTAGCACAGTGATGCCCCCATGGCTGTTTCTAGAGGCACATTCACTCTGGACACCCCACTCCACCCGGCCGGACACTCGGGCCTCCTAGGCTGGGGGTGGGCAGGACAAGCGCCCCTGGTCCTCAGAGCCTCGGCTGAAGGGAGGACCCCTCCCCAGCTGCCAGGGGCAGCCAGGCAGAGGATCTGGTCCCCCCAACGTTCCGGGTGCTTGTGTGCAAAGTCTGTCGGCCTGGAGCAGCCCTTCAGCCCTCCCTGCCTCCCCCTCCCCCGCTTCCCCTCCCCCGCTGCACAGCCCCTCACCTTGGACGGCGTGAGCCAGGAGCCCCGCGACTTTCCCACACTTCAGCCCCATTCACAGTGTTAAACGGCCCACAAAGGCCAGGCGTGTGCCTCGGAGGCCCGAGCTGCCATCTGGCCTGCACTCAGGGCGGGAGCCAGTGGGCAGGGACTTAACGCGGTTCATTTCGAGTTTCCCACAGCCGCAAATCGGATCAAAGCTGCTGGGGGGGGGGGGGGTTAGAGGAGGGAGGGAGAAGGCAGCCCCCAGGCCCACCCTCGCCTCGGGCGACCACCCTGGCCATGGCGGGTGGGTGAGCACTTGGGGCCCAGTGGGGGCTGGGTCGAGACTCCTGGCACTTGTCTCCTTTGGGTCAGGAGGGAGCTGGCTTGGAAGAGGAGCTGGGGAAGGACACGGCCCCAGCCAACCGCCCTCCCCGAGGCTGAGGATCGGGGTGGGTGGGGGTGGAAGGCCCCACCCAGGTGTTGCCCTGGGCACCCACCGCCTGCAGCCGGGCCGTCTGGCCACATATGGGCTCCGGCTGCTTTTGGTTGGTGGGGGCTGTGGCCAGGGGCCCTTGCTTCTTCGTCCCCTCAGCCCTTGACTGAGCACCTCCTGGGTGCTGGGCCCCCACTGGCAGGGTGTGGGCCACAGGGACACAGCCAGCAAAGTCATCCTTCCCCCACCCTTGCCCACCCCCAGGGACACATCTAACACAGGACCCCCTTTGGCTGCAAACACGGCTCCCTCATCATCACTGCATTCCCACCGCAGCCAGCCCACATCGACCGGGCAGGCCACCGTGGGCGCCTAGGGTTGAGCCTACAGCCTCACACAAGTGAGGTCACACAAGTGACCAGGGCCACAAGTCTGCAGGAGGGTCCCCTCTCAGTGCTTGGCACCACCTGCCTCCCGACACATGCCCAGGAACTGTGTCCCCTGCAGGAGAGGTGTGGGTGGGGGAGGAAAGGGCGGACCAGGTCCCCAGAGGGTGAATAGAGGCTGCCCTTCCTCCTCCTCCACAGCCATCTGAAGGTCCCACCCTGGGAACTGCCCCCCAACTCATCCCAATGGGGGACCAGATGGCCTGCAGGGCCGTGCTGTGCCGTCTGCACGCCCAGCCTGCCCTGGCTGTCCCGACACCATCCTGCCTGCTTCCCGGATGGGCCCTTCACTGGGCAACCAAAGGCTCCTTGTGCACAGTGGGGGTGGACTTGTGCTCACAGCTGTGGGTTGCTGCCAAGGCCCCGGGGTGGGGGGCCCGCTTGCGCCCTTGTTAAGGCTCCGAGGCCCCAGCCGCACTCAGGCGGGCTGCCAGCCAGGGAACCGAACTCCCGGACGTCAAGTCTGGCGACAGTGCCCTGCTGCCAGTCGCCACTCCCGTGCTGAGGCCCCCCCTGCCCCTTGGCCCTGCCTGCGTCCACCGTGCCCCTTGGCAGTGCCCAGCCTCAGCTCCTCCCCTCCCCCAGTATCCACAGGACAACTGGGCTCCGGGCTGTAGAACGAGAGGATGGTGGAGGGGAGCCGCCGGCAGGCCCTCCCCTGTGGGCCCAGGGTGGGGCTGGTGGCCCAAAGCAGCCACGGACCCTCAGCTGGCCAGGCACCAGAGTTACCAACTTTCCCATTGGGTCCCTGGGGGGCCCATGGGAGCTGGCACAGCACCCCAGAGGGCTCCGGGCCTGCCCTGCTCCGACCCCACATCTGCCTCCCGACACCCCGCCCTCGAAATGTCCAAGGAAAACAAACCCTAGGAGCGCCCACCCGGTGGGACACCGGTGAGCAGCGACTGAGAACCAGTGCTCTGCGGACTGGGGTCAGGCCCCCTGCAGGGGGGGCTGGTTGGCGGCACCCAGACGCCTCCGCCTGAGGAGCTGCTCCCTGGGGCCCAGCGCCCCACAGGACTGCCTGGGGGCCTGTCTCTGCGCAGCTCCCCAAGTCCGGCGGGCAGAGTGGGGGGGCGGGGGCACGACCACCCACATTCTAGCTTTGGAGAAGTCGTGCGTCCCAGGCAACATCCTGGGAACTTGCCACAGAGGCCAGAAGCTGTGACCCTGAGAGTGTGAGCCCCTTGTCCACCTGTGCGCAGGGGGCTGGAGGCACCCGTGCACAAGGGTGGCCTCGCCTGGTCCCCCTCCCTGGGGCGACGGCAGGTCCCTGTGAGGGACGGTGCCCGGTGCCCTGGAAACCTCGAGTTCGCTCATCCTAAAACTCTTCCCTCATCTGTGCTAGTGGCTCCTGCCAGCCAGCAGCAGAGGGGGTGGAGGGGAGAGAGGAGGGGAGGGGAGGGGTCGCTCCTTCCTGCCCCCACCCCGCGCCCCCCTCCCCGTCTCCGCGGCCTGGGAAAAGGCAGCATATTGAGGCGCGGGGCTCCCGGCGTCAGGCCCGGGATGCTAATGAGGACGAGCGTGTTCCCACAGCCCGGACATTGTGCCGCGCGGCCCACCTGCTCCTCGGGGAGCGCCCATTGTGCCCGCGCCAATTCACAGGCAATTTAGCGTGCGCTAATGGGCCGGCGCCTTTGTGCAGCCCGCGCCCCCATTGGCCGCCGAGTGTGGGAACGGCCGCGGCGCCCGGGCCCCAGGCGCCAGCCCGCCGCCCGCGCCTATATAAGGGCCGGTCCGCGCCGCTCGGACGCGCCCGGCCGCCCGCCGCTCCCCGCTCGCCGACCGCCTCTCTCCGCTCAGGCATGGCCCCCAGCACCGTGGCTGTGGAGCTACTCAGCCCCAAAGAGAAAAACCGAGTAAGTGCGCACCCCGCCGCCCGCCGCCCCCGCGCCCCCCGCGCCCCCCGCGCCGCCCTCCGGCCCCGCTCCTGACGCCCCTGCCTCAGCAGCTGCGGAAGCCCGTGGTGGAGAAGATGCGCCGCGACCGCATCAACAGCAGCATCGAGCAGCTGAAGCTGCTGCTGGAGCAGGAGTTCGCGCGGCACCAGCCCAATTCCAAGCTGGAGAAGGCCGACATCCTGGAGATGGCTGTCAGCTACCTGAAGCACAGCAAAGGTGAGCCCTCCCGCCCGCCCCGGGCCGCGCCCCGCCCGCCCGGTCCGCGCGCCCCGCCGCGCTCACTGCCGCCGGTCTCCCCACAGCCTTCGCCGCCGCCGGCCCCAAGAACCTGCACCAGGACTACAGCGAGGGCTACTCGTGGTGCCTGCAGGAGGCCGTGCAGTTCCTGACGCTGCACGCGGCCGGCGACACGCAGATGAAGCTCCTCTATCACTTCCAGCGACCGCCAGCCGCGCCCGGCGCCCCCACCAAGGAGCCCAAGGCGCCGGCGCCCAGCCCAGCCAAGGCCAGCGCCGTCGCACACCAGCCCTCCTGCGGCCTCTGGCGGCCCTGGTGACCCGGCGGGAGGTGCGGACTGCAGCCCCGGGACCAGAGGGGCGATTTGGACGGCCCCTTCTCTCCAAGGCTCGCTCCAGGCTGGCGGGCCAGCGGTAGGGTCATTCTCAAAGAATGTGCGTGCAGAAGCCTCGTCTGTCCGGACAGTCGGGGCCCGCCTTCTGCCAAGTGTCCGACCCCATGGGGTTGTTCCATGTTTGCATTTCAGCAAGTGACTTCTGGGAAGTCCCCGCCGCCCGGGGTTCTATGACATTCGTAGGCGCCAGGGGCACCGCGCCCCTGCTGGTAGAGGACTTTCTTCAGGGCCCGTTGCCGCTAGGCCCGCGGGCCTGGGGCGCGGGCGTGCCCGCCGGGGCACATTTGCCTTTTGTGAAGGCGGAACTCAGGGCGCATCCTCATAGGAAAGAGCGTCAGCCGGGATGGGGCGCGGAGGGACCTGGCAGAGCCGCCGTGTGGGCTCGGCTGTCTGGTCAGAGCACACGGCGGGCTGTGGGGAAGGGCGGGGGTCTCCGCCATGATCCTGAAAGGGTTCCTCTGGGGGTGGGTGCGCACGGGCCTGACTGTGTACTCAGAATCTGAACTTGGTCACGTGGGAACCACGGGGCTGCTCTGCAGACTTCCAATAAAATCTGACTCGTCAGTCCTCTGCCGTCCGTCTTTTGTGCCTCACAGGTGGTCTCGGCGGCCACCAGGCATGCGGGGCTCCAGGGATGAAGGGGAGGCCGCACTGTCCTGTGTGCCACCGTGGGTGGGACCCTCTGGGCAATGGAAGAAGGGCTAGGTGCTGGCCGGGAGGCAGGGAGGAGGGGTCGGCGGGTACAGCTCTGTTGCCTGGCTGCACACCCCACACAGGGGGAGGCAGGGGAGGAGCCAGAAGGGAGGGAAGCGCAGTGGGAGGAGGAGGGAAGCAGAGGCAGCCTTGCGGCCCACGCGGCCCCACGTGCAGGGCACACCAGAGACCTGGGTTTCTGCCCCAGGCCTCTCAGCAGCTCCCTGCCGCTGGGGTGAAAGCAAGGTGACAGCTGCAGGGCTCTTCCCGCTCTGAGGGGACCCAAAGGCCACAGCCTGCACCGCAGCTGCTGCTGCAGTGTAAGGGGTTCGCCCCACCCTGACACTCCCCACAAGGCTGGCCAGGGCACCCGGCCCTGGACGTGATTCTGGGGGCGCCTGCTGGGCTGGCCGTAGGTGGCTTCCTGACCCTCCCTGCCTGCTGACCACGTGCCAGGGCTGGACCAGGCCAAGCTGGCGATGAACCTGCCGAGGGCCGGCCCTCGCTTGGGAAAGGGCACCTATTTTTAGGCAGGCTAGAGGGTGTTGAGTCTGCAAGAATGTAGAGGCACCCTGGAGGGCCAAGGGGCACAGTCCGCCCCATGGCGGGTGGGAGGGCCTGGGTGCGGGGCCAGAAGGCACTCTTTTCAGAGATGTGGGCCCGGCCGGCCCTTCCTCCTCTCTGCTCAGCACTTCTGTTTTCTCTCCCTGCCCATCTGCCCTGAAAGGGAGTGTCCAACGGCGCCCCCTCGAGGCCAGCCCAGTGCCTGCCAGGGGCCTCTGGGGTGATGCTGAGCAGAGCCCCTGGGAGTGGTGAGCAGGGAACAGGGAACCTCCTCCTCCACCCTAAGCGTGTAATGTGTGTAGTGCGTGCGTGTGGGGCGGGCACACCAACCGCTGGGGTGGGGTGTGCCCCCTGGCCAGGCTGGCCAACAGGCGTCCCACTGTCCAGGGTCCTGGACATTTGAGAACCTCTTGGGAGCGGACCCTCTGCACTCTTGCACCCCAGTCCTCCCTGCACGCACATCCACCCCCTTAGGAAAGGGCCTTCAAGGCTGCCCCCGCCCCGCCTGATGCCCTGGCACCAGCCCCCGTGTGAGTGGCGCTGGAGTTCTCCGCGAGGCTCTCAAGGCTCTGCTCCAGCAGCGTCTGAAGGAGGCTCAGGAGGTGGCCGAGGTCCGGAGAAACACCTTACCAACCCCGGGTCACCTGGGAGGCAGGCGCCAAAGCCACTGGTGGGCCCTCTGTCTACTCCCAGTGCCGGGTTCTTTCCCAAGGCACCCAGTGTCTCTCAAGGGGACCCTTGATGGTACCCAGGCAGTGAGGGCTTCCAGGCGAACGTCACATGTGTCCCTGCTGCAGCTTTGGGAACTTTCTCAGCCTGTTCCTTGCAGATTCCCCCAGGCAGGCTCCCCTGAGCTCTCTGAGAATTGGCCGCCAAAGCGAACCTCTTCCCTAGCTGAAAATGCATCTCCCTCCCTGGGCTAGGGGCGCCTGGAGAGCAGGGTCCCCAACTCCCCATCTGGTATGGGACTTTTGGCACCGACACCCCAGCGTCCCTGGAAACTTGGGCGATGGGTCACACGCGCCTTCCCTCCCTTGCAGGGGCCAGGCTTTCGGCTGCACTGGAGGAAAGAGGCAGGTCTCTGGTGGTCTGCAAGCCCCAGGTGCCCTCTCTGCCCTACCTCAGAGCACTTGAGGTTAGCCCCTGGCCAGCTCGGCGAAAGAACAAAGACGCGGCGCAGAGGGCCAGAGAACAGGGCAGAGGCTTTGTGTCGGGCTCCCTTCCGGGCGGGCCGCAGTCCTCCAGCCACCCAGACCACGTAGGCGGGCGGGGCGGGGGCCGGCCTGGGCGCCTCATTAGCATAATATATGCGCAGAAGGCGTTTATCAGTCAAATATATGCGCATATATCTCCATGGCTGATGAGGCTGGCCGGGCACATTCAAAATGGCGGAGTGTGGAGCGAGAGGCAGCGGGAGCAGCGGGGACAGCCTGGACAAGAGCATCACGCTGCCCCCGGACGAGATCTTCCGTAACCTGGAGAACGCCAAGCGCTTCGCCATAGACATCGGTAGTCGCGGGCGGACGCAGGGAGCCGGGCGGCGCGCTGCGGGCGTGGGCGCGGGCGGCGGGGTCGGCGGCCCGGGGGCGGTGGCAAGGACGAAGGGCGGGGCGCGGGCCGCCGGCGCGCAGGGCCCGACGGGCTTCGTAGTCCGCGGGCCGCCGGCGCGCGCGTCCTTCGTGCAGTTCGGACTACAGCTCCCGGCAGGCGCCGCGCGGAGGGAGCAGGGCAGGCCGGGTGTCGTAGTCCCGCCTGCGGAGGGTCGGCTGCGCCGTGGTGCCTCTCGGGGGCCCCTGGGGTGGCAGTCCGGGCCGAGGCAGGTTGGGGGCCCGACGTCCGCGGCCGAGATGCAGACGGGCGGCAGCCCCAGTAGTGGCCGCAGGAATCCCGGCGGCCTTCCGGAGCCCAACCCACCAGGCCCTGCTCTGACGGTGGCCTTTTGGCGGGAGTTTCGAGGGCCTGGACATGGGACCTCGGAACCTCTGTTAGCTTCGGGTCAAAGCCCCCGGGTCTCCGGCGACCTGCTGGGGAGCCCCCAGGGACCACTCTCATCTCCCCGCCGCTCCCAGGCCCTGCCCGGTCCCCGGACGCCCTCCCCGAAGCGCACTGTCACAGATGAGGACACGAAGGAGGAGAGGTCACCTAGCTGGTAGGCAGCCAGCACTCGGCGGCGCTGCTGCTCTGCCCGCGCGAACCAGCACGGAGAGCTTCCTGGGGACAGTCTCCCTGAGGGAAGCCGGGCGTGTCGGCCGCGGCGGCTCTGCACCTCCTCCTCGGCCGCATCTAGGTTCCGCCCTGAGCTGTGTACGATTGTCCACCTCTGAGCGCGCAGTGTCCGCGGTCCTGTCCCAGCACCTGCACTGCGCCTGACCCGTGATTGCCGCTCAGTAGTTGCTGGACTGAACCTTCTCTCCCAGAGAAGTTGGGCCATCGAGTAGAGCCAGCTTGGCTTCTTGGAGCCCTTTGCATTTAATGCGTTCGCCATGGCCCTGTTCTTGGAGATCGAGTCTCAGGCCTGGGGGAGGGTGGCCTCCCTGGAAGTGGGAAGCTACGAGTGGAAACCTGGCTGGGGCCAGAGCTCCCACCCTGCAAACCAGGGCGGGCACCCAAGGGGCTGGGGGACTGACCCAGTGGCAGGTGTGAGATGGCTGGAGGCCAGGTGGAGGAAGGGGCGCTCAAGGCAGGTCAGGCCAAACGATCTGAGGATGGAAACCTGGCCGGATGCAGTGCCCACCTGGAGGTGGGCCAGAGATGGCGGGCCTGCGGGCCCAGCCCAGAGTGGCATCCACCACTAGATCGCTCTGTCGGCTCTGGCTGGCTCTGGCCAGCCCCTCAGCCACGCTGGGACCTGACGGCAGGCCAGTGGGGAGTGAGCGCTGAGGCTCGGACTGTGCTCTGCCTCCCTCCTCTGGCAGTTCTGCTCTGAGGGAACAAGTCAGCCTTCCGTGTTTCCAAAATGCAGCCGAAAGCGCACTCCCCACGGGGCCCACCTTGGACCTTCAGTGCGGGCCTCCACCCCGGGGAATGAATGTCTCCAGGGGCCTGGAGCGAGCCGCCTGCCGTCCCAGGCCAAGCTCAGGTGGGGCTCCTTGGTAGAGAGCTCATGAAGGGATATTTCCAGGGTCAGTGTTTATTTCCTCCGTTGGAGATTTCCCTCCAGTCCAGGTCCCATGCCTGGCTCTCAAAGGTGTGTCTTTGTCAGTGAGGCCTTGTTTGTCAGCCCAAATCCCCAGTCCGAGTATCTGTCCGCAGTTTGGCTTGCAGGCAGGCTGTCTGTCTGCTCTGCCCCTGCTCGCACCTCTCCACCAGGAAAGCTCAGGGCCCTGTGCTCTCGGACAGCCCTTGCACCCAGTGGGCACCCAGGGCAGCGGGGCACCAGGGACGTTCACCTGTCCACACATACTGGACAGACAGTCGGAGGGTGTCTCAGGCGAAACGGCGGGGCCTGCTGGGCAGTGACACACGGTCCCCGCAGGGAAGGGCAGGTCAGAGAGGCAGCCGGGAGGACAGCGGTCTGGGGTGAGGCGTTGGCTCAGGCCCGAAGTGAAGCCGTGGGCTGGTCCCATGTCCGGCAGCAGCAGGTGGGCCTGGAGAGTGCAAGGCAGTGCCTGCACTGGTCGGCGTGGTGGCCCCCGGCAGGGCAGGGGCGCCGGGCACAGCTGAGCTCCTGCTCCCTGAAGGTCCCAGAGCCCCCTCTGCCCCAGGCAGCCTGGTCCTCACTGGAGCCCTGGCCCTGGGAGGCAGTCCTGGCCCAGCCAGTGCTCCCGGCCACACTGCGGGGAGGGCGGTGTGAGTCTGGTGCCCAGGAAGAGCTGTGCCTGCGCAGACCGCAGCGTCCCCAGGCCTGTCTGCTGACTTGTGTGCCTCGCTCACAAGCAGCTGTCGAAGAGCCATTTCCACCTTCCTCGTCTTGTAGCGACGGCGCTGCCTCACTTCCATTGGGTCTGTAAGAAACCCTCTGTTTCAGAGTCGTTTTGTGGCTCTGAGCAGGGCACTTCCCCTCCAGTCTGCCCCCCACGGGCCGTCACGGCTGCTGCTGTACCTGGAGCTTGGCGGGCGCCCCCTGCCAACCCCATTTGCTCACCCCAGCGCAGCCTTGAGAAGGAAGCTCTGGGAGGGAGTCCTTTTCAGCTGGCCTCCAGCAGCGTCCCAGGGGCCT